CCCCACCCCACCCCACCCCACCCACACAGACTCTCTCTCTCTTGTAGAATCACCTGTCTAACAATACTCTGAATGAGTTTGTCCATGGTGAACGCAATGTAGGCGTGAATGGTAAACATCTCGCGAAGAGAATCCTCGTATTGGGAAGAATCCATGTTGCCATCCAGGAGGTTCCTCACCATGTCCAGAAAAGCAGGGTAATAGTCTTCCACTTCAATGTCCACTGAAATTGATGGGGGGGGGAAGAGGGAGAACAAACTCATATTGACTTGCAGGTTTAAAATACAAGAGGAAGTGTCAGCCCTCCAAGGTAGGCAAGGTCTAGGAACAGAAGCAGCAGAGATCTCAGAAATGCTCTTGGTTATTGTAGACAGCAGACCGTCAGACCCTCTCTCTGCCCCATCAAGATGAGGTTATTTTGAGTTCTGTTCTCACACTTCCTTCTTTCTCAGGGCTGAGCTGCTATTTCTCCTTCCGTAACATTTCACTGCTCTCTTCTCCCTTTCCACAGCTAGATCTAGATTTTTTCACAGGGAGGGACGCCTTTTAAGAATCTTGTTTCTCCTTTTGGTTGACTGCTGAAACTAGGATGAACAATAGTGATCTCAAAGACACGCGCATGTTTAAAGAGCTCCTACAGTCATGCGCTCCATATAAACGCAGACCAAGGAGAGACACTGTGGACGCGAGCATTAAAGGGTGCAAACTCCACTGTAGTGAACCCTAATGAAATTTGGTGGGATTTATTTTAATAGACACGTGCAGAATTGGGCTGCCAAGTTTTTAAAAACATCATGGAGTTAATATTAATATTAGGGGTTACTGCCTGAAAATCCAAGCAAAATCTAATCTGTTTGGGGCTATACTATAATAGTAAGAGAAACTGATTTTAAAAAACACACAAAATAATTCAGAAATCAATCGTTGTTAAATTGCTTTAATGTATTATTTCAGATCATTGGGTTGCTTATTTCAGTGTCATTAGCTGAAAGGAGAGACCGCTGCTATCTCAACCAGCACCTACATTTCTACTTCCCAGAAGCTAGTAATGTTAAAAACCTCAAAAGTTCACTGCCTCATCCCTTTTCTTCACTGAATTCTTCACTGATTTAAGGGGTTTAACCCAAGAATGCGGCACGCCTTTTAATGCTGGAGAGATCCAAGGAAGAGCCGGTAGCTCTGAGCCCTTGACCTCACATGCAGAACACGTGAGCTGATGTAACCACCGGTCTCTTTCGGTTCATGTCCATCAACCCGAATGTCCCCTTAGGCAGCCAGCACTGCTCCCCCCCTTGCACCCCTCTCCATGCCCGTCTCCCCAGCCGGAAAGAGGCACTTACTGGGTTCTTTCAACCGCAGCTGGATGGCAGGGCTGTCGCCCTTCTCTCGCTTCACGCCCAGCACTTCTCGCTCCCATTCTCTTTCCCGGCTGTCCTCTTCGATCTGCCGCTCTGCCTGGGTGTATATTCGCAGCAGCCGCAGGCACAGGATCTGGTGAAGGCGCAGGAAGATGTACCAGTTGTTGTTCACGTAGAACAGGTTGTAGACTTCGTCCATGCTGCGCAGCTTCTGAGCTGTGGTGCTGCTGAACAGCAGCTTGGCTTTGGGGGGGCTGCCCCCCACCCCGTTGTGCTTCTTCACCGCCCCAGAGCTTTCGTCCACGTCCATCTCTTCCTCTTCTTCCTCCTCCAGGTCGGAGAGTTCCCCTCGCTGCGCAAAGAGGAGGTCCGGGATGAAATGGTACATGATCTGCTTGATTTTGTATTTGTCTTCCTTCTGGATGCCCGTCTGCCGCTTCACGTGATGAATAATGAGAGAGGCAGCGTCATCCAGAATCTGCTTGTCCTCGTAGGCCAGAGACAGATGAGGGCCAGCGTTGTCTTCAGATGTTTGTTCTTGCCTCTGAAAATCAAGAAGCAGAGAGCACAAGGTCGTTCTACAAATTGCTGCTGATGAAGAGGAAAGACACGTTCTCTACAAGGAAAAGGTCCCACTGCTTCCTCAACTGCCTCCAAGCAAAAGGACAATCTGAACACCTTCCTCCAAGAGCTCTTTGATGTTCTTCAACATTCTCATGATTGTGGAGTCCTTGGGGTTCTCTGAGCTTGGTTGTTTTCTTGCAAACGTGTCATTATCCAGCTAGGTAGCATCTTCAGTGCACAACCAAGCTCAGAGAACCCCAAGGACTCCACAGTTCAACCCTGACCTACACATATTCGCTTCTATTGATTCTCATGATTATTTTCAAGTTGCAGATGAAGGAAAACTTGGCAAATTCAACACCAAATCCCTTGGCAAAAGGAACTGCAACAAATTATGAAATCCTTCCACAAAAACCAGTCCCTACAGCAGGGATGGGCACCAGCGGATCATTGGTAGATCACTGAATGACTTGTGCCCTCTGTGGAGCAGGGAAGGAAAAAGAAAAGGCCATTTAGGCTGCTGTGTTTCCTGAGCTAGTCATTCAGTGTATGTTGGAAGCTCATGCACCAGGCTTATGGGGTGGAGCAGGTAAATCAGTCCTGCCCCCAACAGTGATGGACCAATTTCCCAAGAAACTAGATCCCTAAATAGAAACATGCCTTTATCAATTCCAGAGGGTCAGAGAGGAATGCTATGGAACAGTAGATCTGCTTACATGTATGCCATTCCCAAATCTGCAACTGTGCCTTAGAGAAAACAAGAGGCCAGCTCCCTATATAAATTATCTCTGTGCCCCCTTTTTTCAACACTTGAATCATGGATACCTTCATCTGACTGCAGCAAACGGGAATATGGCAGAAAGAGGGCTCTTTCTGGTGAAGAACTGAGGTTGGACGCCTGCTTCTCAGTGATAGATTTATCAGCCTAGGGCCAAAAACTTTATGCAGGTTCCTTTTTGAAGCATGAAGAAATGGTAATTTAAAAAAGAAGAAAAGAGAAGCTACCATTCATTCTTAGAAGGAAAGCTCTATTTAATTTACCTTGAGCCACAATGGCCTCAAAAGCAGATGCTCAGAGTCCTCCAACAAATTCTGAAGTCCTATGAAAACTCACCTCCTCCTTTTTCCCAGCAAGCAGTCAGGGTAAAATATAATTGGGCTCAACTATATATATTGCGTGAGCAAAGGCGAGGAAGAAATGTCAACGTACCTCATCATAAATGGTCTCAATCTCACTGAGGAGACTTTTTGATCTTAAGACCTTGGTGTCGTTCTGTTTAAAGTTGATGCCCTGATGGTCCAAGGATTTCAGATAGTATTTCTCATTTTGTTCCCGCCACACTTTGTTGAATCCCCTCTGAGCTTCTCGCCACTCCTCTTCTTTCATTTTCAACCTAGGCAGGAAGACGAGCGACAGGGTCTGAGAAAGGGCTGTGACACCTAGTGGTTTTATCACATTCCACTCAACAGACGTGAATGAAAAATCTGGTAATATAAAAGAATGTGCTCACCATGTTCCTGTGGTCTCTTTTCTTACTGCAATAGGGAGCTGGATAAGTGCATTTCTATCTAGCCCTTTTCCCACCCCTCCATTCCTTCTTCTCTGTAGCAGAATTGCTGTTTCTAGTATAGGGGTGAATCCAGAAGGGTTGAAGGACTTTAACATAACTCTCCCATGTCAGCTGTGAAATTCACCAGTGAGTTGGGGCTCCTGAGATCCACAGAAAAGGGGCAGGGTCCAAGAGATATGCATAAAGTCCAGGCTTTATGAACTTGGCACCAACCAGATGCGTAAGCTTTGCAACTTGTCATTATTCCCAGCCAGCAAGGCTGATGTATCTGAGGATTCCAGGTTGAAGAAGCCTGCCAGTCAGCAGACTGCCAATGCTGGTCTTCTCAGCCACCAAGCAATGGTTTAGATGTACATTTGCTTTTGGAATAATCAGGAAATTTCAGTTCCTCTGGAATCAGACTGCTAGTCATGGCTAGATGATAAAATACATTATGTCAGGGCTTGGCCAGCTATAATGGCTCCTAGTCTTTCCCAACTTTTAAAGGGACTTACAGCTTTGAATTTGGATGTCCTCAGGATCACCCATCTCCACATCTACCTACTCAGACCCCAAGACCATTTTTCGAAGTTCTTGTCCACATGAGACGCGACAGGTGGTCACAGATGATCCCAGACCTTGGAATACTTCAAAGCTTGCCTAGCATGTTCCTTGACATTGTGACTTTTCAGTGTAACTTTCACCTGAATATTCATCTCCACTGAGATGCCCCCCCCCGCCCCGGATGACGAGATACCTTTTCAACACAATGGGAACCGCAATGGCTGGGTTTTTCCGAAGACCATCAATGATGTCGGCAGCTTTGTCGGCATATATCCTCTGCAGAGCTTTGCGGTGGATAACCTCTGAGGAGCCCCCCAAGGTATTGTCAAGGCGGAATTTGGCTTGCTCTTCAGCTGATAAGCGGGACAGTTTCTTCTGTATTGTCTCCAGGACTCTGATGGTTGCTAGGTTGGTCTCCAAGACCACATCCAGCTGAAAAAGAAAATGCTCATCAGCTACGTTTAACTGTTGCTAACGAAAGGAGTTTATGACCCAGGTAGCACCTGAAGCGGGAACTTTTCCTCTCACGGCCCAGTCATCCCTATACAGAAGCACTCCCTGACACGCAGCCCCCCGGAAAGGCTGAATTTCAACTTCCCAAGTGGGATCTGATTTCAAATCTAGCCAGAAGCTGTCAGATTGGGAAACGCTGCATGACGCTGATTCTTCCAGCTGTAGTACTTTATCTGCCGTTTTGCCACCCCTGAGCTAAGTTCCTGATATCACACCAGGAGATTAAGCCCTGTTTTACCTACCTCGAACCGTTCATCTTCACATCGGTAGATATGTTCTTCATACTGAGTCTTCTTCGAGCTCACAAACGTAGAATCTTCGGACCACGATGGAAAGGAGACCCAGGTGTCATTCAGAACCTGAGCAGTGGAGAGAGAAAGAAGGGTCTTACTGCTAATAAGATAATCTGCTGGGGAATTCTGCTGGCTGGGGATTCTGGGAGTTGAAGTCCACACATCTTCAAGCTGCCAAGGTTGAGAAACACTGAGCTAGGGAAAAGGCCTATCAGACTGCTAACAGGATGCTGCTTGTCCAGTCACTGGTTATGTCTGATTTCCCCATCAGAAAACCCTATTTGTCACCAGAGAACAGTTTGCTGTACAAGGGCACCCCCTTGTGGGAGAAAAAAAGATTGCTGCTGAGAACAATTTCATGACGTGCATCCCATAATGGGCTGGTCTTTAAAAAGCGAGTCTGTAGGCTAAGCCCGATCTGATAACGTACCCAATAAAGACCTCACGTGAGGGGTATTCCCCACTGGGGAACTTCACATTCATAGATAGACGTAATCCTTTTCACCGGTCATTTTTATTCTCTCACGTATCGTTCTGCTCTTCTTCATGTCTTCCTGGCTATCAAAGTTAGAGAGTTTTCTTCGGCTTCACTCAAAGGCAATAGCTTAGTAATGGAGACCATGGGACATGAAAAAGACCAGTTCTTGGTATCTATACAGGTAGTCCTTGGCTTACGACCATTTGGTGACTGTTCAAACTTACAACGGCGCTGAATGAGTGGTAGCTATAGCCAATCCTCAGAGTTCTGGCCATTGCAGTGTCCTGCGGTCACGTGATCACGATTTCTGACGTTCCCTGCCGGCTTCCCACAAGCAAAGTCAATGGGGAGGCCGGCAAGAAATGAGAAATTGCAGTCACGTGAGGCCCTTGCTTAATGACAGCAACTGGGACTGCCAGAACTGCCATTGCTAAGCGGCATGGTCAAATGACGTCGCTCTTTATGGCGGTGTCACTTAGAGATGGCAATTCCACTCCCAACTGCTATCATAAGCCGAGGACTATAGGTAATTAAAATAAATACCAGGCAATTGAGGGGAGGGTGATCCTTGGAGGTCATACCACTCTTGCTAGGTTTCACCAACATCCACATCCTCAAAGGGGGAAGAATGCCAGCGTACCTCCTTGCACAACGGCGTCCGACCTGTACATTTGGGCTGCTGGTAACTTTTGGGCAAGGCTCGGTAGCTGGAGCCCAGTCGTTTACACGAAGCATAGTCTATCTCCATCGCTATCCCCTCTGTGGCTCGCTCCTTCGGAAAGGTCTCCAGATGTGCAGATTCTTTGTAGCCCAGGAAGTTTTTAAACCAAGTGAACAACTCTGGGAATTTTCTGAAAAAAAGAAATCCAATGCGAGCAGAATACATTACATCAGAGTTGCTGTGGCAGAGAGATTTTTACACTTCTTAGTAAGGTTTAAACTTTCAATACACTCTTAATCATCTTATTCAGGGAAAGATGCAACCGCTGCTTATTTAAACATTCTTCTTGCATCTTCTGTGGTGAAATTCGCTATGCCGGTACAACATGGCGACTAGAGTTTGCCGCTAATTGGAGCAGAAGCATCTCTCCTCCTTGGACTCAAAGCAAGTTGGCAGATGGAACAAGCAAGATGCTCGCTGCTTGTAAATTCTCAATTCTTCAATCTATGTTGTCTGTCACACAAGTGAGCACACTAAAGGATCAGTTACTTAGCCTGCTTACCCCAGGAATGGAGAAACAAGCTGCACCAGCTCAGCTCTGGATATCACCTCCTGATTGAAAATGACTAGGCAACGGAGGAAATTCTCATAGGCTTCTGTGCTGCGCAATGCCTTGCGGACCTGGATCGCGGAACGGGAAGAGAAAAAGAAGCACAAGAAAGTTGGGAAAGGAAGGATTGCCCTGGCAAAGGGACAATTTAATCCTCTCCCATTAGCACGATTCCAAGCACATCAACCAACAGCCATTACATAGGTGGAGCTGGGAAATGGGTACATTTATTCCAGAGAGAGCTGAAGGATGATGAGAAATGCATCATGACCCACAATGTAACTCCTTGCAGTCCCCAGATAATCCCCCACATGCAGTAGCTGTTGAACAGCTGAAGAATGTCATAAGTAAGCTTGACTTTTGTCTCATGAATATGCAGTTGTTATTCCCTATTATGCAGAATAATGCTGGGGGTAAATCAATTTCCTCACCCATTTCATAATTCATTTGCTCGTCTCACAAAACTTACGATGAACCATTGTGGACAAAGCCAACCCTCTCCCCAAAACTCTGGAACTTTCTCTACATGGGATCCTTGGGTCCGTGGACTCCGAGGCCTGTCCCAATTGCATTTGGACAGAATGGATGCGACCTCACCAAGCCTGCTCTTTCCCAAAACGCTACCCTGTAAAAGGGAGTGTGAAACCCTTCCCTGAGCTGGCCCGAATTGGGGAAGAAGCTCGGCAACCATTTGCTACAAAGGTGAAAGGAAAACAGGAACCGATGAAGGAGTACAGTTCGTACCACGCTGGCAGTGAATGAGGAGTCCAGTATCTGGGCCTCAGGACAGATACATGCCCAGAGAGACACATTTCGGAAGCTACAACCTGTTTAAATGCAACTCTAGGATGCTTAGGCGGGAGGAGGGATAATTCTTGAGTAAATATGCACAGAATTGCAACATTAATCTCAACCAAGCTGATTAGAGATATGAAATAAACGGTCGGAAGCCACGATTCATCAGGCTCTCTTACCTTGTCAAAGAACAGAGACTCTGTCCCGTGTTTACCAGCTTCTACAAAGGATGGGTCCTTCAAATTAAGGAGCTTTGGTTTCTTCTGCAGAAAGAAAGCACATGTACGCACACACACACAACAGAATAGATAACTGATATCTACCACAACACATTTTAAATTTGCTGAGTTACCATATAGTTAAAAAACAGAAGAGGAATAATTGCACAGTATCGATACCCCTTTGGTAGGACAAACATTTGTTAATCAAGTGATGCAGAAGCAGATGCAACATTTGAACCACAGGGGTTTGTAGTGCTCTGCGCCTTTTCCTTAGGAAATATGGAATAATTAAGTAATCAATCCAAAATTAGACTATTTGTCCAGGTAGCCTTAAGGGAAATCCCATTGCTATTTGACTCAGGGTTACGACTTTCTGCCCTCCCATTCCCTCTTTCAGTGGCCAGCGCAGACCTGGAGCATTAGAAAGGCTGCTGAAAATTAAGCTTCTGATGTGCCTCACAAAGTGTAGTCTAGTCCACTGAAGCTCTTCACAATAATGTCAACAAAACGTGAAGGCACTATAGAAAATACTTGTTTTTATAGCATTAAAGATCCCTTAGGTCAGTGTTGTCCAAACTTGGCCACTTTAAGATGAGTGGACTTCAACTCCCACAATTCCCCAGCCAGCAATTCTGGGA